GCTGTCCTGTTGAGAGAGAGGGAGCCATTACCAGTGTGTGATGTGGGATGCCACTGAGACCCTGCCCCACAGCTCAGCCTGTGCTTACATCCTCCCTGACAGCAGGGTCTAGATCCCAGGAGGATTTGAGCAGAAGCAGAATCCAACCTTTGGATGACTTTAACATGCCTATGCATTTTGTTAGTCCTGCCACTGCTGCTGACCAGGACTGGGGTGGTGGTGCCACTATAAAGCCTGTAAGGTGCCTCTAAGGCTGGAATCTTGCTCTCATGGCCGCTGCCTCTCTGTTTGTATGGAGAAGTTGTTCTTGGTATCTGGTTTGTCCCCACCACATCTTGCAGGTCCTAACCCAGAAAGGACTGAAGGTGCATTCTATCTGCACACTCTTCAACTATCCCCATCTCCCACGGCATTGGGCATCTCACCTCCCCATCTGAGCTGAGATGAGAAATTTTCTGGCTGTTGGTGGAGCAGTGTGCAAGAGGGGGTGTCTGGAAGTGAAGGTGTTCCTCACTTTGAGAAAAAATCAAAGGGGCAGGTGAATATAACTCCCATTAACAGCTATAATCTCTGCACTGAGCTGTGTGCAGCCTCAGCTCTCCACCCAGTCTGCTCTCTTATGTAGGGGCACACAGTTTGGACATTTGATAACCTGGCCAGGAGGTGCCAGATCGTGTCTTTGGCTGACTGCACTTCGTGTCCTCTGCTAACTGAGTGCTGTGCCTGCTGGCCAGGGAAGGACCCAGTGGGCTTTGAAATCACTTCAGATACAACGAAGCTGATACCTGGAAACCATCCAGGCAAGGAAACGCTTTATGTGGGTATCTGTGAGAACAGGGAAGAATATAGAGATACATCTGGGCTTGGGAAATGATGGAAAATGCTGTTATATGACAAAATGTGGGGAGGTGAGAGACCTGCAGGGGACCACCACTACTTTCCACTCACATAGTAAAATTTTTTAGTCTAGTACATAAAATAAAAGCCTTTCTCAGGTTCTTGAATTTGTGAAACTTCCCAGTTCCCTACCACTTTTTCTACATACGTGTACAAATTTTCTGGAAGACATTTTTCATGGCAATGGGAAATGGTTGAGCAGATTCTACTGCCCAGCGGCTGCGATACCTGATGGAGAGCTGCTATCAGCCTCTTCAAGGCCTGCGTCTGCCCATAGCACAGGTAGCTGTGGGTGTAGAGTGAGTAGTTGGTGCCGTACAGCCTGAAGAGGACAGATGTGTTTTTGTCTTCAATGGTGACTCCAGGCTGGAAGGTTATTTGTGTTGAGGCTCCTCCAAGATCCAGAGCTCCCAGGACTTCAGTGTTTTGTGGATGTTCCCATTTTCCTGCGAAGGAAAACTGGCCCCATAAGGCAGTCAGTGTTAGTCTGTCCCTTCCCTAAAGGTTCTGTGATCTCAAAAGCCCCTGGGAGACCTTCCCATCCTATGTCCCTGTTTAACCCCTTGCTGCTCATCCTCCTCAACCCATGTAGATCTCTGTATAGTGCTAAGGTTTCAGCCCTTGGCTGCTGCACATCAGCTTGGATCCAAGGATTTTGAGGAGGAAAAGTGTAATGTTGTTCTGGACTCTGATACTGCCGTGACACCAAGATCAACCCATATATGAACGGAAAGCACAGGACCAGGATGAGCTAGACACAAAGACCCTCCTGCTCTTGTCTGTCCTAATCACACCCGTAGAGTCAAAGGTGCATTTCAACAACATGCTACATTGGTTTGGATGACTCTAAAATGACATTTCACTCTCCTTTGAAAATAAAGAATAAAGAAATCTGTTCTTTACTGGTCTTTACTGAGACAGGAATATACACACACGATGCATACCCCTAGCCCCCCCATGCCCTCTCCTCTGGCCTGCACCTTGATAAGTGTGTCCAGCAGGTAGTTGACAGTGATCCAGCCGAAGGAGCCCTCCTCGTTCCCAGTGAGGATCTGAGCTCCACGGAAGTCCACAGGGTACTCACGAATGGCCTTGGTGACCTCAGCGAAGACCTGCTCAGCTTTTGTGCTGTTCTGCTCCCTGCAGAAGCAGACAAATCCCATGTGGTAGAAGATGCAATTGCAGGGGAGCTTTCAGAGCAGGCTAACAGTGAAAGGCTGTGACCTGCAAAGGAGTGGGACTACACAGTGACAGCATATACCCCATCCATCCATTGCTATTAATCATATAAAAAGATTATAAAAAAAAGATGGAGAAAGATGTTTTACTAGAACCTGTAGTGACAGGATAAGGGACAATGGTTTTAAACTGAAAGAGGAGAGATTTAGATTGGATAAAAGGATAAAAATTTTTCACAATGAGGGTGGGGAGGCACTGTGTCAGGCTGCCCAGAACTGTGGATGCCCCATCCCTGGAAGTGTTCACGATCAGGCTGGATGAGTCCCTGGGCAGCCTGATCTGGTGACAGGTATCTGCGCCTGTGGCAGGGGGTTGGAAATGGATAGGCCTTAAGGTTCCTTCCAACCCAAGACATTCTATGAATTCAAGTCTAGCAAAGGAGGTTGTTCCTCCTCCAGGGTACTGCCAGGCAGGCACCAGTGTAGGCCGTGGGGATTCCCCATGGAGCAGTGAGCTGGCTATTTTGGTCAACCCCAGGGGGCTACAAAAATGGATGCTCAGCCCATTGCCATGGTCTGCCCCCAATCCCAGCCCCACACCCCTCCTAAGATGCTGAAATGTGTGGTGGGGCAGTGCCCGTACCTCAGCAGCCGCATGCCCGCTGTGGCCCCCAGGTAGGTGGGTGTCTGCCGCTGCTGCTCTGCAGGGATGATTGTCATGGCCTTGGCCAGGCAGGGCTTCAGACTGGCACCAGCTCCAGCGGGATCATCTGCATAGCTGGAGATGCCAGATCCTGCAACAGAGCACCTTGTGATGCCCAGGAGGAGCAGAACAGGATAACAGAAGACACGTCCACTCTAAAAGCCAGGAAGACCCCACAAGTTTTCTCCATGTACCAAGACCAATCATGCCCTTCCAAGGGCATCCCCAGAAGGGCACTGCTCAGGGCTGGCTTGCCTGGAGGTGGCACATGCATGCTGCAGGAGCAGACAGTGAGCTCCTGCTCTCCAGGAGTGGGAAGCTGCTGTGATGCTGAGTGTGTGGTTAATCCCAGTTTCCCAGCAGTCCGTTGACAAATAGCATGGTTAGCATGGTTCCCTTACTTCCCTGGCAAAGGGGGATTCTCTCATTTGTCCTTTAGAGAGGACGTGTGGAGCTGATACACGCACAGAGGTGCTCTCCATGCAGCTCAGCACAAACACGCTTTTATTTTTATAGGCTGGTGCTACATCTGAGCTCCCAGTGTGGTCCTGCACTGGGTGGAGACAGCCAAAATCACTATTTACCTTTCCTCCAAGCTCTGCACTCCAGCTCTTCCACCAGCCCAAGTGCCCTTTCGCTTGCCCTTCGCCCTTCACCAGACCTTTGCTTTGGAGCACAGTTAACCAGTAACTGACGCACCGTGGCTGCAGAGCCTTGATTTGTCATCAGGGCAGGCTCTACAATCTCCCACCCCTTGCCCAGGCACTCTGCCCTAGGTCAGTGGCCTCTGCCAGTCCCATTTAATCGACTGCCCAGAACAGCCTCCAGCCTGGCGTCCCTAGGCTGAGCAGAGGGTGGGGAGAGGGACGGACACGTCCCAGCACTCTCACCATTCACAGTGCAGGACTCCACCTGGGAGACGATGCCCGTGCCGTTCTCCTTGTCTGCAGGCCACTGGTAGACATAGAGAGCCGTGTGCGTGGAGCCGGCGTCGAACACCAGGCCGTACTGCGGAGAGAGGCCGATGGATGCAGGGTTTCAGGAGGTGCAAAGCAGATTTCGCTGGCTGCAGAGCCAGGAGAGCGCCAGGTGAGCGGGCAGAGCTCCCAGCGGGCAGGGAGTGGCTCACATGGTCAAGCCAAGAGTGTCACCGGAGCAGGGGAAGCGTGACATTGCAGTCACCAGCTGTACTGAGGCCAAGGCTCTTTGTGAGCTAGTGGGGAAGTTCCCTTGTTTCTCTGCAGTGAAAAGGCTGTATGTGCTGTAAGCAAGAAAACTGTGACAGACCCACTTGATGTGCCAGCCTGCACAGCGGTTTGTCCCCATCTTGGTGAATAACAGCACAGCCTGCCTACAGCTGGGGAAAATCTCAGAATAGAGGTTAGCCAACACCCAAGTGAGAGAAGTAGATGTGCTTCTGCCAAAGGCTTTACCTTAGTGCCAGGAGGCAGAAACACATCCTTCACGTTTACAGCACTCAGTATGAGGGCAATGATGCTGAAGACACAGGTGGCTGTCAGGAGACCTGCGATGACCTTGGCTTTGTACTCCATTCCTCTTCCAACCTGCAAAAACACCCCAACCCCAGCTTAGTGCTCCTGTATTTGCAAGGCCAGATTTGAACTGCAAATCTCATGGATGGAGATGGGACCTGTCAAGGCGGACCTTCTCCCATGTCTGAAAAAAGGGCTTTAAACCATTCTCGGAATCAGAGTCACAGAATCCCAGTATGGCTGAGGTTGGAAGAAACCTTTGGGTCCATCTGGTCCAAGCCCAGCTCAAGCAGGGGCACCCAGAGCAGGGCCACGTCCTGGCAGGTTCCCACTGGGGCTGACATCTTTGGAGCTCAGAGCTGCATCCCCCTGGCACCCACATTCTGCCATCATACCCTGCACTACCTAAGACAATCCATCCCACAGACTTGTGACCAGCAGGTCATATAGAATCACGGAATCACGGGACAGTACAGGTTGAAAGGACTCCAAAAGACAATCAAGTCCAACTTTTCATGGCAAGCCTAAATAAGGTTATCTAGCCCCCTGTCCAATCCCATCTTGAAAATCTCCAGTAATAGGGAATTAAAACATCTGTTGCCTAACAGTATCAGACTACCCTAGGTCTTTCTCCAGGCAGGAGAACAGCATCTCCATCCATGTGTCTCCTGCCTGGTCCAACTCTGCTCACCTGGCCAGAGCTCAGCTCCCAGCATTATCCCTGAGGCATCAGCAATAAATTGCAGTAGAGAAGTGAAACCCAAGGGCCTGGTTCTCTACAGCCCCACACCACAGAGCAGCTGACACGTCCTCATGCTCAGCACCCCATGTCTGCTCCAGATGTGCTACACAAAGTTCTCCCTCCTCTTCCTGTATCACCCTGCTCTGTACCACCACAGTGTGACTGCAGGCAGTAAGCCTGACCTCGTACAGCCCAGCCTGCACAGCACTGGGCTGCAGCTGAGCAGCAGATGCTCTGAAAGCCCTGGAAACAGCCTAGAGAAATGATTCTGACCCAGCCGCCGCCATGGGGTGCACCCTGGGGAGCTCATTGGGCTGTGCAGCTCTCCCAGGAACACACAGAAAATACCCTTACCTTGTAGCCAGGCCAGGTCAGCAGTTTAATAGGAAAGGAAGACCTTTGGCAAAGTCACAAAAGACGTCGATTCCTGTTTCAGCCGATATCTCCAGTGATAAATGAGGGTGAGCAGTGCCCTATAGGACATGCTATGTATAATGGAAAATGTTCTTTTCTGTTCCACGTCATGGGACACGGGATGTGGGATAGGAAACCTTTATCAGACCTTATCCTATGGCCAAGAGCCCCGTCTGGTAATGAAGGGCAGAAGATGTCATATGCAAGGTGATACTCCTCTACTGTGCCATCTCCAGCCCTATTAGCCCTGCTGATTTGCACAGATGTAACCATGCAGCTGAGAAGTGCTTCCCCTGCTCCTGGTTTAACAGCAAAGGAAAAGGTCCCAATACCAGCACACATCTTGGAAAATTATGCCCCAGGCAGCATGTGATGGTGATAAATTGCACCATGTGTGAAACCACCTTCACCTGCCCTCGGTGAGGCCAAATTTCTATCTTATCTCAGCAGCAGGCAACAACTGCAGGCAGCACTGAGTCTACAGGGACAGGGGAGGAGAGTGGAGCACAGGGAAGGAGCGAGCAAGCAAGCAGAAAACAAAGAGGGAGGGGTGTGAGAAGCCAACGGATCTGCCCAGAATTTCTGTGGCACTTCAGGCTGGTTCGTGCCTGGCACAGCAGCCTTGTACAGCAGGTTTGGGGCACAAGCAGAAGGGATGGAAGGGTGGTGATGCCTTCAGAGCTACAGTCAAGCCCTGCTGCTGTATGGCTCCACAAGGAGCAATGCCCAGAGGTTTCAGCGTGCAGAAAGCTTGCAGTTGTGCATGCTGCTTGAGCTGCTCCTGCACTGGTTGGTATGTGACCGGACACAGCAAAGTGCTGACAGCTGCTGACAGCCCTTTGCAGAGTCCCTTGAGAGGAAGTAGAGGAGCCTCAAAGTTCAGACTTGTGGGCACTGCTGGCCATAAACTGTGTTGCTTGGGAAGATGTGTTGCTGTGCACATGTGGGATTTGGGGTCAAAAGGGCTCTTAATGTTATAAGGAAGCGGGGAATGTGCAAGCTAGAAGTATCCTTGCCAGGCAGAGCAGTGCCCAAGCTCCCATCCTGACACCAAGACGAGGTCCAGCAGTGCTCTCCACATCCCCTGCATGCACTGAAAGCACCTGAGCCACAAACCACCTTCTCACCTGCCTCCCCACCTGCCTCCCACCTCACCCCTGCTTCAATCTCCCCACAGCCAAGCGTCGCTGAGGTCGCCCATTGCTGTTCCCTGCCCATGCTCACCTGTGCTGCTGCCAGTGAGGCCAGCTGCTGCTCACCTCGGTGTCAGCGCGTACCTGGAGTGCAGGCGCTGTGCCTGGGACAAAGGCTGCCCAGGAGTCCCCTGCACGGCCCTCCCCTTGGCCCCAGACCAGTAACCTCCCCTGCAGGCAGCATAGAGCATGGAATAGAGCCTGGTTAACCACCTCAGTGCTGGTGGACAGGCTGTGCTCTGGGATCCCCACCTTTGGGGCTGTTTGGAGGTGCCTGGCAGTGCTCTCCTTGATGCTGACGGGATCCACGCCTGCAGGGAGCTGGTGAGTGGGTTGGCGTCGGGACAAAGCCTGAGTTCTGGGAGAGGGGCTGTAGTCCACAGATCTCCCAGTCCCACAGCTGCTGCAGGGGAAGGCATGGCCGAGCCTGTCATCTGCACCCCAGCTGCCGCTCTCTGCTCTGCTATTCTGCTGCTGCAGGCGGGACCAGGCTGGCAGAGGTGCCCAGGGCAGGAATAGGAGAGACCTGGCAGGTGGGGACTCGTCCTCACTGACATCTCAGCAGGAAATACACCCGCAGTGCCAGGGAGCTGCCACCACAGCCAGAGTCCCACTTGTCCCCATAGGGCTCCATCCCACGGTTAGGGTCCCTCCCAGCCACAGATTTGGGCTGACTCCCACAGCCAGGTCCCCCTCTCCCCTCGGTGAGGTCCTCGTCCGTCCCTACAGCCACAGTTCCTGCCCAGACTGGAGGGTCCCCCTGTCCCACGACGAGGGCTCTGCACCCACCCGCCCGGTCCCGCTGTCCCCATTGCCGATCGCGGCTCGCAGCGCCGTCCGTCCCGCAGGTCCGTCCCCTCTCAGGGCCGCGCTGAGCGCCCGCCCCGTGCCGGGCTGGGCGGTACCCGGACGTGGGAGCCGGGCCGGCTTTCTTTTTCGCTTTGCCCCGCGGGTTCCGCCCGAGGCGCCGCGCCGTGCCGGCCGTGCGGAGCGCTCCGACATGCGGCCCGAGCGCCCGGCGTTCGCGCTGCCGGTGCTGGCCGGGCTGGCCGTGCTGGCGGCCGCCGCCCTCCTCGTATTGCTGAGCGCGTCCCGGGACCGTCCGGTAGACGGGAAGAAAGTAAGTGCCCGGGGCGGGGACGACCGCCCGCCCTTCCCGGTGCTCGGCCGGGCAGCCCGCACCCCGCGGTCCCGGTGCTGGGCGGAGCCCGCTCGGGCTCGGAAGGCGCTGCGGGACGGCCGGGCTCCGCGCCCCGCAACCATCGGCCTCTCTCCGCAGTACGGCCTGGTGTTCGACGCCGGCTCCACGCACACGGCTCTCTACGTCTACCAGTGGCCTGCAGACAAGGAGAACGGCACGGGCATCGTCTCCCAGGTGGAGTCCTGCATCGTTAATGGTGAGAGCGGAGCGCTGGCAAGCGTCTGTCCTTCTCCCCGCATCGCTGCCCCGGGCTCCTGCAGCGCAGTGGGGGATCTGAGCCCCTCGGCCCGTGCTGGGCCAAACGGAGGCGGCCCCGAAGAGCCCAATGGAGCGGTGCAGAGGAGCAGCTGCGGTTTAAGGGTCCCTGTAATGATGGGGGCTGTGCTGCCCAGAGGTGGGTCGGAAGCTCAGCCTTCAGTTAGCATCATGGCTCATGGACCCAGCCCTGTTGTGCAGACCACTGTTGTGCATCACTTTGCACTTTGGTTGTTAGATGTGCAATGCTTGCAACCTTTCCTCTGCAGCCACTTCCTGGAACATCTCTTTATACTTCTTCCCACAGGCATGCTAGAAGCTTTGCAGAACTCACTAGATCTAAATGTGTCTCTGCTGGCTATTTTTGTTTTCAGTTCCTATCTGCACTTTGAGTTAACAATTATCTTTTTCCACATGTTTGCACAGCCCCGAGCACAGAGTTTTGGGCTGTGATTGTGGCTTCTGGGTATTGCCCAAGAGGATGAGAGAGAACCCTCGATGTAGGAGTGGGATGCTGTTCTCCTGGGCTGGCTTCATCACAAGGTGCTCTGTTGCAGGATCTGGCATCTCCAGCTATGCAGATAACCCTGCTGAGGCTGGAGCCAGCCTGAAGCCCTGCCTGGACAAGGCCATGACAATCATCCCTGCAGTGCAACAGCGGGAGACACCCACCTACCTGGGGGCCACAGCGGGCATGCGGCTGCTGAGGTATGGGCACTGCCTGCATCCCTGCACCCCCACAGCCCTGCCCTGAGCCCTCAGAGACTGCTCTCCAATCACAGCTGCAATGGGTCTGGGATGCTGGTGAGATTATATGCGGTGAAGTGGCACTTTGCCACCCTGGCTGGTATCTCTGATGCCTGATGTTGATCCTTCTGGGATGGGGAACCACCGACTTTGTGGTTCCATATCACATCTGCTGCCAGCACCATGCTCCCTCCACCAGCATCTCCCTCCTTCCCTTGGCAGGGAGCAGAACAGCACAAAAGCTAAGCAGGTCTTTGATGAGGTCACCAAGGCCATTCGTGAGTACCCTGTGGACTTCCGTGGAGCTCAGATCCTCTCTGGGAATGAGGAGGGTGCCTTCGGCTGGATCACCGTCAACTACCTGCTGGAGACACTTATCAAGGTGCGGGGTGGTGAGAGGGCAGAGGAGCAGGAGGGTCTCGCTGCACTGAGAGATCTTGCTGCATCAGAGCCTCTGCAGTGCTGCTGGGCATTGAGGCTGAGACCCCTTGGAGTCAGTCACTGCTTCGTGGTGAAACAGGGAAACCTGGAGGCCTATCAGCCCCCACAGTGTCTGGAGGAGCTCCAGAGGCTGTGGATTGTGGGTCCCTCCTCCCTGCTGCACCACAATTCAGTCAGGAAAGCCATTTTCCCTTGGCTCACCCTGAATCAGATCCATGCACCCTGTGAGTAATTTTCTGTGTGGGGCAGTACTCCTTCACAGGCAAGTGGACCCACCCACCAGTGGAGAACGTTGTTGGAGCTCTGGACCTTGGTGGGGCTTCAACCCAGATCACGTTTCTTCCTGGGGCCACAACAGATGACAAGAACACGAGTGCCCTCCTCAGATTATATGGGACCAACTATTCAGTTTACACCCACAGCTACCTCTGCTACGGACAAAAGGAAGTCCTGAAGAGGCTCTTGGCATCTTTACACCAGGTAATTGCCTCCAGCCTTGTGCTCCTCTGCTGCAGCCAAAGCCGTGGTCTCACTGAGCTGGGCAGGCAACACCCACTGGGTGTCACAACCATGGGGCTTAGTGCTGTTGTACAAGCACCTGTGAGAGTGGATACAGTGGGGCCACCTCTAGAACATCCCTGTCCCAGTGGAGGGTCTGCATCAGCCCAGACTCACTCACAGGGGCTGGAAGGACCTGAGTCTCCTGGAGGAGAGAACATTCTGGATGATGGGAAGCTGGGAATAATGTAGGCTTAAAGGGAGGAATCCAAATAGGCTGGTCTTCAGAGGCAGGTGCTGGGGAGTGGAGGAAGGTTCATTGCTGCTTAGAGGAGCCCTAATATCTGTAACGTGGCTGTGGAGTGAGGGCTCAGTGCCTCTTGGTGGTTGGAGCAAGAATGGGCAAAAGACAATGTCCACTGCATGTTAGCAGAAAGAAATCAGCCTCCACTTCATTTTTGATAAAGTGGTTTCTCAGTTTTGGCTGTGCCCCTGGACCTGATGACACTGTGATGACAGAGTGGGGACAAAATGCATGCATGCCCATCAGAGAGGACTAACTCCCAATGCCCTGGGCACACAGCTGTTGCTGTAGCTGATTGCCTACTGCAGCATGGCATGGCCTGGCTGTCCCTACAACTGTGCCTGCACCCCATAGTGTGGTGTTGATGCATCTGCATAGCTGGTACAGATGTCACCCCATGGGCAGTGGAGCCGGGGTGATGGCAGGGTGTCTGCATCCTGTGTCTGGTTGTTTGAACAGGCAGTGTCTGTGGGCTGCTTCTCACCTTTCCATCCTCAGCTCCAGTGCCAGGGTGATGCTAACAGCTCCCTCTCTCTCAACAGGACAGCCTGTATGCCCAGCACATATCACAGCCCTGCTACCCCAAGGGATACCAGGAGAACATCACCATAGCAGAGCTCTACGACAGTCCCTGTGTCCCCATTCCAAGCATGCTCAGCCCTGCACAGATCCTCACAGTGACAGGGACAGGCAACCCTGCGGCGTGCCGCAGCGCCATCCTGAAGCTCTTCAACTTCACCTGTGGGGCCAACAGGACGTGTGGGTTCGACGGGGTCTATCAGCCACCTGTGAGGGGACAGTTCTTTGTAAGGAGCCTCGGCTGTGTGCTGGTGGTGTGGGTGTGGGGCTGTGGGACACCAGTTTGGTCAGTGCTCCAGAAAACCTGCTGTAGGAAGAAGTGACAATGGATGCCTTGAAAGCTGGGATGCACCTGATGCATGGAGACATGCAGGGTGCTCAGCTGTGTGCCAAACAGACTCTGACTGCCATGTTCTGTATTGTCCCCAGTGCTCTCCTGAAGCTGGTCAGCAGGCAGCACCCTATGTGGCCTGCCCTGGGGATCCCTGCAGAGCACCCCAAGTGAGGGGCAGAAAGGTGCCAGGAGCTTGGGTGCATCACTAACCTCTGCCTTTGGTCATAAATACCCACACAGGCTTTTTCAGCATTTTATTACAACCTCCACTTCCTGAACCTGACTGAAGACCGGTCCCTGAGTTCCGTCAATGACACTCTATGGAAATTCTGCTCCAGAAATTGGATGACGGTGAGATCCTGCCCAGGAGCTGCTGATCCCTGCCCTAGTCTTGCTCAGCCTGGGCACCGTGTGGCTTGGGGGTCTGTCCACAGCCTGTCCTCTGCTGTGTGGAAGGACCACTGGGGGACCTGGAGGGAGCACAAAGGTCTCTGAGCTGGGTGGGAGAGCAGCCAGCATCCTCCCATGTGCTCCTTGCTCCCCAGGTCTTTGCTCCTGCTGCATTTTCCCTATAATGTGGGTGCACCGAACGTTGCTCTGTACGTGCATCCCCATTTTGCTCTTCCTCGTCTACAGTTGCAGGAGGACTTTCCCACCAGGAACAGGATCCACCTCCGTGACTGCTGTGCAGCCAGCTCCTATGTCCTCACCCTCCTGCTGCAAGGCTACAAATTCAACAACAAGACGTGGCTCAACATCCACTTCCGAAAGCAGGTGAGAAGGCAACTTTAACTTCACAGCTGCTTCACAAACCTTGCACACTTGTGCCTGCCCTGCCCCTGTGCCTGGGGTGCAGGATGATGGCTTGGCACAGTCCATCACCCGTGTCTGGGATTGCCTGGTACTTTGCAGCCCTTTATATCTCTCTTCCTTCTCTGTCTGCACAGGTCTCAAATGTGGATGTTGGCTGGACTCTGGGCTATATGCTCAATCTCACCAACATGATTCCCTCGGAGATGCCCCAGAGAGTTGTATCGCTCCCAAAAAGCAAATGGATAGCAGCCACAGTCATATCGGCCGTCATATTCATTCTCATCTTCTGCCTGATTGTGGCCACATGCTGCTGGAAGGACTCCTCTGGCTATGAGAGCCTCTAGCAGTGCTGGCTTCAGAGGCTGCTGCAGCCGCCTGGTGCTGCTGGTGCCAAACTGGTGTGAGGAGCTGCTGCTGGGGGAATCAACCCCGTGTCCTGGAGCTGCAAACTTGTCATGTTGGGAACCTGGCCTGGTGAGCTAGGAGCAGCACATGTCTTACAAAAACCTCTCTGTAACTGTGTGCTGTGTGGTTTTCTTTTGCCCTCACTGCTGGTTGGAGAGGGGGCGTGACTGTGTGGGGCAGGGCTTGGTGCTGGTGACATGGGGGCATCGGTGACATGGGGCAGCTAGAGATGGCGTGGCCCAAAGGGCAGGAAAGAGAGAAGATGTGTTTGGCAGCAGCAGTATCTTTGCAGGGCTGGTTACTGCCTATGGAAAATAACCACGTGGGGCAGAGGTGTCCTGCCCCACTGCAGGGCAGGGGCCCACATAGCCCACTGCTGGAGCTGGGCAGAGGGACAGCAGCTGGGCTGCTTTCTGCTGGGTGATCCCAGCCTGTCCCGATGCTGGGGCTGTTCCTCCCCAGGGACAGGACTTGGCTCTGCTCCGTGTTGAGCTCCATGAAGCTGCTGTCATCCTTGGGGTTGCTCCCACCTGTCACAGTCCCTCTGGAAGGCTGCATGACCCTCTGGTGCATCAGCCATGCCACACAGTTTTGTATTCTCTGCAAACTTGCTGAGGGAACATTCTTCCCCATCATTCAGATCATTAATGAAGATGTTAAAAAGAACTGGGCTGGGTACTGACCCCTGGGATAGATGTCTGGTGTCCAATCAGCTTTTGTGCTACTGCCACTGTTTCTGGGTTTGGCCCATCAATCCATTTCACTGCCCATCCAGCCCTTATGTCAGCAGCTTCTCTATGAGGATATTCTGGAGGACGGTGTCAAGGCCCCACTGAAATCTGGGTAGAAAATAGATGTCAGCAGCTCCCCTATTTTCCTGCACCAGATCAATCTTCCGTTGGCTGTGCCCCATGTCTGTGCCAGGCACACATCTCACCATTCCTTACCAGCACACAGAAGTTTGGGAAACCCCTCTTGGAAGCAAAAGGGCCTGTCCTCATTCCCCACCGAAGTTTGGTGGGTGCTGTGAGGTCTCCAGCACTGAACAATGCTGAGGAGGGCCCTCGCATTGCTTCCTGTGGCTGAGGCAGAAGTTCTGACCCCTTTCCCCTGTGTCCCATTGTCATTACCAGCCCTTACCTCTGAGGCAGAAGCAATAAAACCTTATCGGCTCAGGAGCAAAATAACAAGCATTTCCATCTTCACTGCCTTTTCCAGTGTTTACTTCTGGATAACAAGAGTGGCTGGGTGCCTGCCTTTCTGCAACAGCTGCAAAGGTCAGTTCCATGCTGCTGGGAGGCAGACTTGCTCCCAGCAAATAACAAAGTGAATCATGCATGGGGCAGATAAGGAGTGAGCAGAACCAAAGGCAAAGGTGAGGGCACAGCCGTGGGGGAGATCCAGCTCAGCACCATGCACAGGTCGGGGCAAGATCTGCAGCCAGCTGCATTTGCAGCCTGGTATCCACAGTTCACAGATCTTGTGGTGGTGGGACAGCCTGGTGTCCAGGAAGGCACTGCGGAACAATGATCCCTCTATCCTATAAGAAAAGGAAGAGATGATGAGATGAGATGAGATGAGATGAGATGAGATGAGATGAGATGATGATGAGATGGACTCTGTAGAGGCATGGACTACCTTTCTGGCTGTGGATACTCAATTTGCATTTCAACTCCTAGGCCAACAGCTGAGCCCAGGCAGTAGGTTCATAAGGAAAGTTAGCTGGGGCATCACAGAGCCGTCTGTGCACTCAGACTGGCACAGCTGGCAGGAACCTTCCTTGCTGACCGTGGTCAGACCCAGCACTGGAGGAAGCACCTCGCACCCATCTGCCAGCACCATGATGGTCTGCCACTCAGATCCTGCACAGCCAGATGGGCTCCAACATCCATGATCCAGCCAATGGGGTGGAGGACAAATCTCTTACAGGATTAATGGTGTGAGGAGGCAGACTGGCCAGGCTTTGGTGTGTAGGCTGATCCCTCAAGGGGATCCTCAGGGAACCTCCCGTGGTGCCTATCTGCATGTCTGGGGACAGTTCTAGGAGCCAACCCTTGGTTCTTCAGCATGGTAGAGGTTACCATTCCTACGTCCACAAAAGCACAACCAGTGCAACGAGCCCCAAGGCCAAGGTGAGGGTGATGAAGGCGATGGCTGCAGCCCACAAGGAGGGTGTGTGACCCTTCACCCACGCTGGAGCCTCTGCTGGGATCATGTTGGTGAGGTTCAGCATGTAGCCCAGTGTCCAGCCCACGTTGGTGCTTCCCACCTGGAAGGAGAAGAGATGCTGAGTTAGCCCAGTGCTGCACGTTCCCACCTGCTGGCCAAGTTCCCTGCTGACCTTCATTTGGAAGAAGATGTTGTTCCAGCTGGTCTCGTTGAACTTGTAGGCATCAAGGAGGAGTGTGAGGATGTAGTTGGCGTTGGCGCAGTATTTAGGCAATCGCTCAGGATCATCTTCGGGGTAATTAGAAGACAGCTGGGAGGAGCGTGTTAGAGGAAGAAACGAAGTTATTTGTAGGCAATTTCCAGGTTGGTGAGCAGACACTAGTAGGAGTCCATTTTAGGACCAGTTGTCTTTAATGTTATGATTAATGACCTGGATGCAGGGCATGGCACAGCTCCCAGGACAGCAGACACGGCCCCAGGTGCTCAGGGGGCACAGGGACACTGCTCTCAGCTGTAGGGTTGGGGTTTGAATGGTGCAGTGTGGGGCCGGGTTGGGCTCGGTGATCCCTGCAGGTCCTGTCCAGCTCTAGTTTCTATAAATTGAGGTGTTTTGGACCTGTCCACACAGGACATCTCCTCTCGCGAAAATCTAATTCCCATGTGCAACAGATATTGGATGGAGGTCCTCTCACTCCACATTCTCCCATCTCAGCATTATTGTGCAAGGGGCTCCTGCTCTCTGTCTCACGGTGGTGCTACCACATCTCTTGGCCTTATTTGCCCCATTGGACTCTTCTTCAAAGCGGTGTCAGCCACAGGCTTTTCTCACCCTCCCCCAGGGCTCCATCCTCACCTCCATCACAGCTCCTGTGATGATTTGACCTACACCTCCCCCCATGTTGTGTGAGCAAGGAGTGCCCCTGAGGGTGGCTGCAGGATTGTCCTGGCTCCTTCCTTGAGCTCTGGGATGGCTGCTTAGGACACAGCTTAGAAACCTGGCAGTCGCTGCTCCTCCTCCCCCACCCATTTACTTTTGGAACTTCCCCATGGCTTCCCACAACAAGAAACATACATCCTCCCAGGTTCTTGCACAGAAACGCTCAATGGTCTCCCTGACGGTGGCCAGTGACTGTCCCTCAGTCAGGTTGAGAAACTTGAAGTTGTAGTAAAAAGCAGAAAAGGCCTGAAAAGCAAGAGATAGAAATACCAGTGAGTTACAATGAGGGATGCTCTTCTCTCTCCAACCAGCAAGGCCTGCTTGCATAAATGGCTTTCACTGGGGTTGTCCCAGCCTTGCCCAACCCCAAGCATCACTATCCCTGTCCCAGAAGAGATGATGGCTGAGGGTCTCACTAAGCATCTGTTTTATTGGAAGGGTCCCATTCTGAGAGCTGCCTGGAACCCCTGGTGTGCCCTGGGGCACTGGCAGTGTGGGAGCTGCTTGCCCTCGCTCTGCTGCAGGGAGGTGACAGTGGCACAGGGCTCAGTGGGACACTGCAGCACTGGGGGGACACACACAGCTGGGGGGAGAAGGACGGGGTTTGCCTTACAAAGAACTGCCCGCTGACAGGGGGCTGGTAGATGCCATCGAAGGAGCAGTCCTGGCTCTGCCCACATGCTGAGAAGTTGAAGAGCTTCTTGACAGCAACCAAACACCCGCTGGCATTGCTCCTGCCCTCCAGGGTCACGTTTCTGTCGTCGAGAGGCAGCTGTGGGTCACTCTGGTTGGTGCAGGGGCTGCTGCGGAAGGAAGACAGCGAGATGGTTTCCTTGTAGTCTTTGGGGTAGCAAGGGTGTTCAACCAGCGTGCTGGAGGGCGACTCCTGAGAATAGCAAAATCCATTGATTTGCAGGCTGCAGCTTCCTCCAGACCTCTTGTTGGGTATGCTGGGTGGCTTCCTCCCAGGACATACGTGTGCAGGCATCTCCCACCTCTTCAGCAGGGAATGACCCTCACACTTCAATCCTGACCTTTTCTGTCCACAGTTCCACCCAGAGCTTAGCTCTGGTTCTCCCCACATCTTGTCCAGTCCCAAGAGCTACTCCTTCCCACTGAAGCAGTCAAATGCTGCAGCCCCAGCAGGGTCCTCTGGGACACACAGAGCCCTTTCCACCCCAGCTCTTAGCCTGTCTCCAGTTCCAGACCCAGCCAGGGACACCACCTGGGACCTTCCTGGATGTGCAGCGTGAGCAAACACTTCTGCTCTCGGGCTGCTCCTCCATGAAGACCTTCTTTCCCTCTGACCTTCCAAAAATGCCCTGAGAAATGTATCTGTTCTCTTTCCTCACTTTCATACAGACATAAAGCAATTGGGGAGCAGCTATCAGAGACTGTGCCAACCCCCTCCTTAAAGCATCACTGGCTAGGTTGGGTTGCTCAGAGCCTTGTCCCATCAAGTTTAGGATGGAGACTACACAGCATTTCTGGGCCTAATCTGATATTTGTCCACTATTATTGGGAAGGAAGCTTTTCCCTGCACCTGCTCAAAAGCTCCCATGCTCCTGCTTGTGGCAATGTCACTTTGCATCTCCAAGAAGAGCCTGATCCTGACATTTCTGCACCCTCCTGTGAGAGAGATGCACGAATCCAGACAAACCTTCCCAAGTCTTCCCTTCTGATGCCTTGCTCCTCCCCACACCTGCCTACACAAATCCAGGGAGCCTTTGCCAGCTCTAGTCTCTACTGATGCCTCTCTGAATGAGCATTATCTGCTCTCATAAAATATGAGCATTCATATTTTTCCTATATTAACAAGAGGGTGCATGGTATCATAAGAGTAGAATCTGATTCTCCCCCCACCCCCCAGTTCTCCTCTCACCACAATTAACTCTTTTGCCAGGCGCTTCCACATCTCGTTCTGCCCATAGCAGATGTAGCTGTGAGTGTAGATGTTGTAGCTGTAACCATACAGCATGAACCTGGAGGTTTCATTCCAGTTTATAAATGAACCTTTGGGGGCAAAGCTGATCTGAGTTGATGCTCCTCCAAGATCCAGTGCCCCAAAACTGTCGGCTGCCACTGGATGGACCCACATGTGTGCTTTTGGGGAGTACTGTCAAGACAAAACAGGAGAGGAAGAGGAGTATGAGACAGCTGGGATTACTTGCCCTCAGCATAATTTCACCCTGTAAAAGTCAATGGGGATTTGTCATTAAATTTGGTGAATTTAGGATCTTAGCTGGCTCTTCCTGTCCCACTGGGAGCAAGGGAGCAGGGTGTTTGGCTCCAGCTTCCTTCAGAGTGACATATGAAACCCAAACTCAGGCCTCCCAGCACCACGTGGACGTGGACGTGGACATGGACATGGACACGGACTTTCCCTGGGCAGTGAGGTAAAGGCAGCAGGAGCAGACTGTCCTCACTGGGCTGCATGGTCCCTAAGAGATTCCCATGTCCACGTGGTGCAAAGATGTGCCCCCATTTTTTAGCATTCCTGATTTTTCCCCTGTCTTTCACTGTAAACAAGTCAGAGGAACACTGGCTGCTTCCCCCAGATCACTGCTGAGTGACCCTTCCTTCTGTGCTGGCAAAGAAACAAGTGTTTCTCCCCTCCCACCTTGGTGAAGGACTCCAGCAGGTAGTTGATGGTGATCCAACCATAAGCTCCCTCCTCTTCTCCTGTAATGATCTGAGCCCCACAGAAAGCCACAGGATACTCTTGTATGGTTTTAGCAATTTCAGCCAGGATTTGGTCTGCAGCTGAGCTGTTCTGTTCCCTAAGGATTCAAAGGTTGGGACCCGGGATGAGATATCACAGCTTCTCTGGGCATCCTCCAGTGCCTCACAGCCCTCATATTGAAGAATTTGTGCCTTATATCTAAACTTAAACCTACCTGTTTAAAGCCATCACTACACTCTATGACAGAGTCCCTCCCCATCTTTTCTGCATCTTGACCAGCTTCCTCTCAGTGGCAGCCCTTCTCTCCAGCATATGACTGCACCACTCAGCTTGGTGTCATCCTCAAACATGCTGAGGGTCACAGGTGACCACTCACCTATGGCTGGCTGCTGAGCTCGGGTGGTTGTGCCAGGACAGGGCCAAAATGGCTTCAGACCTCTGAGTGGGGCAGAGTGTGTGGGGCTGTGCTCAATCTCTGAAGCAAGTAACCCCCAGGGTATGACCCAGCTCCTCCACAGGGAAGGGATCAGATTAACAAGGCACTGAAATAATGTTAGAAATCTGTAACCATAAAACCAAGAGCCATGAAATGAAGGCTGACATTTGAAGAGAATTAATACTAGATGGGGAAAGGCCAGGTCACGCAGCACCTCTTTGCCTCTTGCCTCTGCCCTGCCCTCCCACCATCACACCTTGGCAGACACAGGACCCTCCTGAGCTGTGGGGTCCCAGGCAGCCTCCCTGACCCCAGAGCAGCTCAGTCACCCATGGGCCAGCTTCGTCCCCTGCCCAGGGTTGGCTCAGGGCAGCAGGAGAGCTGAGAGCACTTGGCAGCCCAGCCCCATGCAGAAGGATGCAGCCCAGACCCCACAGCAGTACCTCAATAGCCTCATGCCTGCTGTTGCTCCGAAGTAAACTGAGACATCCCTCTGCTTTGCAGCAGGAACAACTTTCAGGGCTTCTTCCAGGCACTCTCTTAGGGAATCACCAGCTTTCGGGGGATCACTGGCATAGCTTGTTATGCCTGGCCCTGGAAGAGAGTCAGGCTGGGAAGGCTCATGAGGAATAGATGAAGGAGTGGGAAGACACAGGGCAGTGAGATCTGTCACCTCTTAGCAAGAACGGGCTCTTTATCAGGGTCCCCCTGTCCTGCAGGAGCTGGCTCACAGACCTGTTATAATCTCCCCCTCTTCAGGCTGGCCCACTGTACCTGCACTCCTAGCCGAGCCCTGAGCAGGTGTGTAACACTTGTCCGTGTTTCATCACTGCGATTAGACAGGTTTGGGCTCTCTGCACCCACCCACCAAGAGGCAGGCTATTCTATCAAATCCTTTTCCTCCCCATCAAGAAGTCCCAGTGCAGTGTCAGTGCCATACCATGATGGTGAGGCTTTGCCCATGCTTGCATCCTCTTTGGAGCACAGGAGCACAGAGAGCACAGAAGCAAAGCAGAGCACAAGAAGTTGAAAGCAGAAGCCTCCAAACACTGAGTGAGCCAAAGTATCAGCCAGAAAGGACAAGAGCTATCTGAGGGTCCCCACCACAACCCCCCAGATACACCGTGTCAGGATGAGACCTTCCCCCCTCAGGACAACTTGTGCAGTACAAAGTGGAGGGTGAAATCCAGAGGAAGACCAAGATACTTCAGTCCCACCAAGTGTTGGTCTTGTGTGGCATGGGCAGCCAAGGAGAGGAAGGCCAGGTCAACCCACCCACCACGCAAGCCCTTGCCCAGGGAATACTGACCCTGGACATCACAGGAAAAGGTCTGGCTGACCACACCGGTGTTGTTCTGCTTGTCCGAGTCCCACTCGTAGACAAACAGAGAGGTGTGGGATGAGCCTGCATCAAACACCATCCCGTACTGGAAGGAACAACCAAGACATCACGCTGGCGGGAGGAGCAGCCCGGCCCTGGCCTTGCCAGGTTCATCAGCCCAGAGCATGCCTCAGCAGCAGCCGTGTGAGGTAGAGCTGTGTGCACCGGGCAGAGCGCAGTGGCAATAGGACGTATCCCATCCATGCACAGCCTCAGCACAGGCACTTATCACAGCAGCTGAGAGACTTTTAGTTCCTTCTGCTGAGGTCCATTCAATAATGCCAGCTCACTCAAGCATTTGCTTGGTGGTTTCCTCATGCTTTCTTATTTTCTTTATTGGTTGAATACCTCTCGTGTCTGCTCCAGCCCCACCCCTGGGCCAGCAGCTCCCCATCTCAGCACTCCCTGCTCCCCAGCCTGGCAGAGCCCCACGCAGCCCGTGAGCAGCCAGCTGCACCACCAACCCCCAAAACCCTCCACTTCCACTCAGTATGGGAACCCGGCCCCTGCTGCACCTGGCAGCCAGGTGGGGTGCCAGGATGCACAGGAGGAGCTGCAGTGAGGTGCTGCTGTGAGAGCAGCCGGGATGGAGCCCGGGGAGCTGCAGGGACAAAGGCCACGTGGAGGCGCGTCGTGCTGCAGCACTGAGGGAGCGTGCAGAACTCTGCCCTACCCACGTGTGAGTGTGCAGTGGGTTTCAGAGAAGGCTCTTCTCTGCTGCTCAGGATGTATTAACTGGGAATGGAAGTGAAACACCCACCCACCTGCTACATGGCAGGTCCCAGCAACACTGTCAGCCCCAACCCCAAAGACAAGGCATCTCACCTGCCCAGTGCTTCTCAGGGACCCTTTTTTGGCTCACCTGGACTGTGGGTGGCAGAGTGACATCTTCAACCCTCACCAGGCTGAGGACGAGAGCGATGATGGACAGTGTGACCAGCAGCCCAAGGAGGGCAGTGGTGAAGAGCTTCTTGTTAATGAACATCACAGGAAGGCACCTGCAAACCCAAGCAGAGGTACAAGGGGGGAGGGTGGGCACAGCTGGCTGGGAGAAGTGCTGGTCAGCAGGAGCTGCAAAGAGAGCATCCTCAAAAGCTCTCCCCAGGCTGATGTTATCACAGGCACAAAGGTCCTCAGTGGATAATGATATTTTTCCTGAGAGCAGAAGTATTAGGATAAAAGTGTGGGGCTGTGGATAGAGGGACAGGTCCCCAACAGCCTGGCACAACCGTGGTGGGGACACAGTGGTCCTCCATTCCCCACAGCCCCTCCTGCTCTGCTCATGGCTATGGGAAGGGATCAGGTCTGAGAGGAGCACAAAAACACTGTGCTGAAAAGAGGGGGACATGGGAAATGACAACAAAACTCACTGAGAGATCTTGCAGAAAGGGACAGTGATGCTATTTCACAATATGTGTGCTCAGCTCACCTGTGGCTCTGGAGCTGCTGTGTGTCCTCACCACGGCTCAGGGCTCCTCCGCTGCCAGCCTTGAGCCCAGCTGGGGCTCCGTTTATGTCCTCTGGGGCTCCGTTTACGTCCTTTGGAAGTGGATGCTGCTTGAAGGTCGTCTCCCCATTATTTTACCTCAAACTTCATCAGAAAGTTAGAGAAAACTCTTGATTGATTAACATGTGTATTTACGGCTCGGCTCCTGCATTTTTTCTGACACCTTACCCTTGCCCAGTAGGTTCCTCCTCCTCATTTGAATGGAATCATGCATGAGAGTCCTGCAGCAGCTGGGTCACACCTTGGCTTTGATCATGGTTAACTCTTATTTCTCCGCTCTCCTCTCACACATACACTTCTCTCTTCCCTCTCACCAATCCTAACACTTCCATTTTGAGCTTCAGCAGGGCTAAGAGCAGAGAGTGATGTTTCCAGTCTGCAGTTCCCTGGATCACACACAGAGTGAAGGCAACTCGACCAGAGGTTTTACTGTGATGGAACTGGAGGGTGGTCCTGCTGGGGGTCTCAGCATTGTTCCCTGATCTTTGCCAGGGGGTGCAGGGTAGGACATCAGCATGGCCCGGCTGGGGCAGCCAGCCATTCCCTGTGTATGACCCAGCTGTCACGGGGCTGGTTGCGGTGGAAAGATGCACTTTCTGGTTGCCTTATCTCAGCTGAGTCAAACACAGAGGTGCTGGCAGGGAGGAGCTCTCATTGCACTGTCTGACCTTCCCGGAGCACTCTGCCCTATGGCTGTGTGCTCCAGTGTAACCCCCTGTGAAACTGGGGGCTCAGCCACCCCTGAACTCTCTGTCCGCAGCACAGACTGCCCAGCCTGTCACCGTGGTGTCTCTCACATTGCCACGTGCTGCTGAGGGAGACAGGAGACCAGACTGTGGCTCCACTCCACTCCCATCTCCACCCATCACACAACCTTTGGACCCAGGTTGGTTGCTTCACTGGACGAGAATGGGGTGTCCTCTCCCTTCCTGGGTCTGAAGATTTCCTGCTGTCTGTGCAGCAGCCAGGATGGGGCTTTCTGAGCAGCCCCATCTCCAGGCAGGATAGGGGGCACTGACCAGCCACTATCCCTCACACATCCACCTTTCCCCTAGGAGGAAATATGGATGAGTCTTGGGAGGAACCGTGGAGGAGCGAAGGCAGGAGAACCAGTTCCCCTGCACTGTCCCTGAGCAAACAGCCTGCCTGGTGCCGGGGGCTGGCAGGGCTGGGGCAGGGCTGCAGTGGGCACGCAGCTCTGGGCAGGTACAGGGCAGGGCAGAGGCTTTGCTGGGAGTGGGAACGTTGTCTTTAAATAGCTCAGTTAGAAAATCTTGAGGCAAGTCACAGGGAAGGGCTTAGTGATCGTGTTGACACAACTCTCCTCGCAGATACATCTGGAACAGGAGAGAGTGGGGTGCAGGGGTGAACTGGAGGCCATGTGCAGATCCCTTCCCAAACCTGCATCATGTCCTTAGCACGCAGCATTGCACACCTGTGCCTCCTTTCTTAGTAGGCTTGCTTCCACCCTGGATAATCAAATCAGATAATTACCTCTAGGCCGAGCACCAGCCCCTTCTCTTCTCAGGAGGCACAAGGCTGGTTCCCCCAACACCTGCCCATGTGCACTTTCTCATTGGTGTCACTGTCCCAGCCAGGCTCTGGAAGGTGACAACAGCCCTGACTCCATGCCAGAGAGTAATGCCACTTGAGGGAGTAGTCTGTAAAAGCATGGGCAGGGGCTGCCCACTTAGCTCTGGGTGCTGAGTCCTGATTTTGGTGAGCCCTGGCCCTGTTTGCCTTCAGGGATGTGCTGTGATGGAACGGAAAGTGCTGTTTGCTCATAACTTCAGAAGTGACCCAACAGCCCCATTCTTCCAACTGCAGGCTGACAAATCTGCTTTTAGGAGGAGGCATGGCCAGAGTACATGCACACACCTATTTGATCTGCTCTTGAGGGGCATGTCTCTGTCCCCAGGCCTCCACGTGACTCTGAGACCCAGAAGGAAGTCCCGGGTCTGCAGGAGGCTCCGTGTAGCCCAGCACCTGGCCACAGCTGCCACATGGGTGCAGGCAGTGCCTTGTGCCCTTATTCCAGCAGGACTGCTGGAGCTGGAGACATTTAGAGCTGCCCAAGGGATGTGTACCTCCATACTCCTACAGTCCTTGGAGGGTAAATAACACGTCCTTTCCTCCCTGTGCTCTTTCCACATGTGCCCTGATGGCTCAGACTGCACAGCCCCATGCATAGCCCACAGACCAGCTCACAACCAAAGTCCTGCTCTCTGGGCTTCCCTCCCACTGGTCACTGCTTTTTCTAACTTCAACCCAAGCCCTGAATTAGCCAAAGCCAAACAAGAGCATCCTAACATTGAGATCTCCTTGCAGAGCTGCTCTGTGCAGTCAACAGGGCCAAAAGGAAGAGGCAGAAGGTGGAATAGTGATGTGGTGGAGGGTTCCCTCTGCAAGGCTGGAGGCTGCAGGAGATCAGGAAGCCCCTGCACTCTGGGAGGTGCCTGTAAGTATTGCTGTAAGGCTGTGTGCTCCAACTCCTGGCAGCCCAGCTTATTCTCACACAAACCACTGAAGACCATCACGCAAGCTCCTTGGGACACAGCCCAAAAAGCAGTTGCAAAATCCAACAAAAACAAAGCTACAGGACTCTCTTATCTCTAAAGAGGCTGCCATTGTAAGAAAAGGATTCCAGCTTGTGTTCACATGGTTTCTTGACAAACTGAGATGAAACACTGCTTATTTCTTCATTTTCTAGGTGCTCTCTCATCACTTTATGCCAGTGCTCCCAGCAGTTTGGAGCTGAGCCACAAGAACTGCAATTTGCTGTCATCTACACAGAGGTAAGACACGTCCCCAGCACAGGAGCTTATTGAACACAAAACAAAGCTTAATTATGGGAATACAGAATGAGCTGGGAAGCCCATCAGCACATCAGAGAATTCCCACTCCTGACACCCATGTGTTGTCTCTACCTCCTGCACACACAGTAAACCAGTGAGGTCCTTTCTGATCTTGGTGCCTCACTGTAGTCCTCTGAAAGAGCGCCCACATCGCTGGTTTCCTTCCATGCATGTCTTGCCCACAGTCCCCACCACTCTGCAGCAAAGAGGCAGGCACAGTGAGTGGGATGAAAGGGGTGTGGGTGCTGTGGAGGTGAGGAGCACCAAGGAGTGACATTGCCCTCTGTGCTGGTGATAAGCATCCAAGGAGCGGATGGGTCTGCCCTACAGACAGCATCTGGGATGTGCAGTGAGTCTGGCAGAGGCAGTGAGAGGGGGAAGCACACCAGTGAAGGGCTTCTTTTTGAGCAACAGATGGTTCTTACTTAAGCTGTATTTCCCTTGCACGTGTGGAAATGAATGGCTGAAAGAAAGAAATCATCCAGGCTTGCTGCCAGGGTTACTAATCCTCTGCGCTGAACATTGCAAAAAGCTGGTGAGTTTCAAGCACAGAGATGATGTGCTCATCTCTGATGGAGATGAGTTAGTAAAGGCTTTGTCCCACACAAACCTCAGTCTCAAGGGTTTAAAGAGATGAGGCAGCCCAGACACGAGCCCTGGGTGGCAGTGCACACCACAACTGTG